AATATTTTACCCTGAAAAAAACTAAATATTGTACTAAACCTTGAAAATCTCGAAGTGCTAACAAAAAAAAGACAACTTGTTAATTGTTGCGCTTTACGCTTGTTATTTAATCTAGAAGGAAGGACCTAATTGTCCGAGTCTAACTCGTTACTACTATAGTCCGGCGAGTTGGAAGAGCTGGTTTCACCAAGGGTTTCGGGTTTGCCCACTTCATCGTTATCATTTAGTTTTTTTGGTGTAGTAGGTTATTAGACTATAAAATATCATTCAATTTTGTTTTTTCAAAAACATTCCCAGTTTTTGTTTACTTTCCCGACCTTAAAGGAAAGTTCCCGGAACGTTCCCTGGGAATGGGAACGTTCCCTAGGGAACGTTCCCTTCGGCACATCACTAAGTCAGTGTGCTGTGTGTCATTCCATATTTGCCGTGCGTTGTGAAGGGAAAAGTCGCTAAAACCCTTCTTCTAGTTTCTTTGGTGTTTAGGTTTTAGCTTTATGCTGTTTTTATCCGTGATTTGTTCCGCTACACTGATCAGGGCGGTTCATAGTAAATGGGTAGTCTGTGGTGGATTGGCCGGTGCGTTACGGGGTGGTGTGGGTTGTGTTTAAGGGTTGTGAGGTCTCTGGTGAGGGTTGGTCCATGTAGAGTCTTTCTGAAAAACTTCAGCGAAACTTCATTGAAGTATTCCAGAATTGTGTCAATGTTTGCTAATATGTGCAGTTCCACTGTTCGGGTGTCCCTGTGCAGTGAAAGGGCGGTTTTATGTATTTTGTTTTGGTAACGTTGCAGTATTTGTTTCTGTGTGTTGCTGATGTAGCTCCATGCTGGTGCGGCGTACAGCAAGGAGGGTCTGATGATTGTCTTGTAAATGTGTAGTCTGTTTTGTGGGCTGAGAAAGGAATTCGATTTCATTATGGGGGCGAGTAGTCGCCCGGCCCCATTCGCCTTCCGTATCATGTTTTTTACCTGAGGGAGGCCCCTGAGGGGTTTGTCAAGGACCACCCCCAGGTATTTAACTGTTGTTTTCGGTGTGATGTCGACGTTATTTAGTGTGAGTGGAGGTTCCATGATGTTGTTAGTCCGTTTCCTGGTTATTGTCAGTAGTTCGGTCTTTGCCGCGTTGAGTGTTATTTTCCAAGTCTTTAAGTAGGGTGTGATTAAGTCCAAGTGGTCAACCAGTGCTTTCCTTGCATCTTCTGCAAAGAAGGCGCTGGTGTATAGTGCCGTGTCGTCTGCATACATCATTATGCTGGTGTTTCTAGGCTTTGGTATGTCTGCTATGTACAAGTTAAAGAGAGTCGGTGAAAGTACGGTGCCCCGTGGGACACCGGCTTTCATGGGTCTTGGTCTGGATAGTGCCTGGACTTTGCCTAGCGAGTCAAGTAGCGAGATTGGTCGGTATGATTGAGTGTGTGGTCTTTTCCGGGTTTGGGGAAAACTATTATGTCAGCTTGTTTCCACGGTCTTGGAAAGTGTTGCAGGGTTATAATTGCATTAATTATGTGCAGAAGCTGCATAATAGGTTTCCTCGGTAGGTTTTTGATTAACGTGTTGCCAATTGTGTCTGGTCCTGGTGTGTTGTTTTTTAGATTTTTAATTGTTTTGGTCAGTTCAGTGGGCGTTACCATTCTTTGCAGAACGGTGGGCGGGATTGGGTATTTCTACATGACAAAGACGTCCATTGTGTTTGTAATGTGAATTTATGTGTTGGTCGTGTTGGGTGCTTCGTCGAATACTGTGCCAAAGTATTCTGCCAGTATCTCGGCTTTGTCATTTTCCTTGTGGTAGCTGACGCCGTTCGCAACTAGTTCGGTTCGTTGTGCTGCCGGTCTTCTCCGGTTTTTGGCCAGCTTCCACAAGGAGTTGTCCTGGGTCTCTAGAGATGAGACATACTTCATCCAGGTTCTGTTTCTGTGAATCCGTATGTCTCTCTCTATTGCCTTGTTCATAGTTTTGAGTATTTCTTTGTCTAGTCGGTTAGGGCGCCTTTGCCATGCTCTTTTTACCCTGTTCCTTTCTTTGATGAGTTCTACAATGGTTCCTGGGATGTTGTCGATTCTGTCTTTTATTGTTATTTTTGGTGCAAACTGGTTTCTTATCGTCTGGATGTTGTTAGTAAGGGTTGCGACTTGTTTCTCTAATTCTTGAATGGTGGAGTTGGCGGTTGGTATCACGGTGAGGTTGTTTAGTCTTTCTTTGTAGCGTTGCCAGTTGAAGTTTTTGTACGAAAATACCTTCCGAAGTTCGTGCGCCGAAGGGTGGTTTTTCCAATGCAAGAAGACCAGTCGGTGGTCAGATTCTAGTATGTCTTTAGTCTTGATGTCAATGTTTGTGAGGCCCCTGGTCAGGGTGATATCCAGTGTCGATGGGTGTCGCCCTGAGCTGGGGAAGTGAGTGTAGTTGTTGGGGTGGTGTAGGAGAGTGTTGGGGTTGTTGTTCAGGTAGTTGTTGAGGACGTTGCCTGCCCTATTGTTATCATTATTTAGCCAAGAAATGTGTTTGGCATTAAGGTCTCCAATCAGTAGGCCCCTCCCATTTCTTGGAAAGAAGACCCTTATGTCATTCACAGATCTTATGACTCCTGGGGGGCGTAGCCCCCCGAGATCCACATATTTTTTTCGATGTCGAGTGTAACATGTTCGATATTTGTTCTTAGATTTGGGTGCCTTTTGTATTGGACAGATTTGTGTATTAAGGCAGGCAACACCCCTTCCCCTATTGCTGGGTCTGTCTTGTCTTTCGATTTTATAGTTTTAATGTTTGAGAATGTCAGTTGCTTGTAGTTTGGTTTCGTTAAGGAATACTAGTTTGGGACTGTAATGGTTGATGGTTTGATAGAGGTCTTCTCATTTTGACTTGACCCCATTACAGTTCCAACTAAGTATTAACCACATTAAAAGTTGAAACTGTGTATTTCCTGGCTGAAAAATTGCATGGTTGTTTGCATAATTAATGTTTTATGACCGTTGCAGTTTTTCAGGAGTTCAACATACCTATTTAGGGCTTTTAACAGCTCAGCAATATTAATTAGTGAGTTAAGTTCATTCATTGTGTCTGGTAATTTGAAGAAATCGTTCTGATTGCCAGTTACCACTCCGTTTACATTTGGTTGTTGTATGTTAATGGTTTGCCTAGATCGCCGCTCCGGGAAATCTTGATTATACCTCTCGAGCGACGGCCGAGGTATCATTCCAGATGGAGGCGGTGCGGTTTGTGTTTGTGCGCTTGGCCCTGCCCTCGATTGCCAAGCTGGGGTTTTCGGAGGAGGCGTTGGGACAAACTTCTTCCTAGGTTCTAATTGCCTGATCTTGTTTAGGTAAATAGAGCAGTTTTCTTCTATGCTGCGGTGAGCACCCCCGCAGTTGGCACATTGGTTTTCAGTGCTGGTGCAAGCGGTAATTTCGTGGCTGCCTGCGCACCTGCTGCATTTAGTTGCCCTTTTGCAATAAATTGCCGCATGCCCTAGCCCCTGGCATTTTTTGCATTGCATCACCGGCTTTTCTGATTTTCGATTTTCCCATGAAATTCTAATGTTCAGGATTATTTTGGCATTCTGATTTAGAAATTTCAGGGTATATGAGGAGTCTAGAATTACTAGGTACATCGCTTCATACTTAGTTTTCATTCGAAAAACGTTTTTGGGCTTGATCTGATAGCGGTCTTTTAGGTCTTCAGTAAGCTCGGGGATGCTTATGTCCCCATCTAGCCCCCTTAGGACAAAGGCGTGTCCCTTGGTGGCCTTTCCGGCGTGTCCCTTGGTGGCCTTTCCGGCGTAGGTATGATGCTCCATTTGCTCTGCTTCAAAGTTTCGAAGCAGAGTTTGCCAGTCGTGAATTAATTTACAATAAATAATTGTTGAGTTTCTGGCATACCTTATTTGGTTATGCCAAGTTTTAGGAACAATTCATTCAGTGCCTTGTGGTTGTCAAATTTTCCTTTCACTACTATTGGGGGTGGTTTTTCAGGTTTTGGTGCACCGAGAGTTTTTGATTTGTTAGAGGCTGCTTCGCGGGCTTTCTTGGTGATTTGCTCTTTATGGGTTGGAGAGCTTTCGATTGAGCTGACGCTTGCGTCATCGTTGCCGTCCGTGTCGTCTGTGTTTAAATCCTCGAACCTTTTGCTTATGGGGATCGGAACTCCAAAGTCCAATTGGTGAATTTTTACCATTTTGGGTTTTCATTGGGACTTTGAATCCGTCATCCCCTAAGTTGGCATTGTTACAGCTCGGTGTGGGTTCCGGTATAATGACTGGTAGCTGTTCAGGAGTTTTTATTTTCGGCGTTGTTGTTTTGGTAGCAGTCGCACTCTTTGTTTATTTTGCAGGTTTTGTGCTGTGGCGTTTTTTGCGCTCGTATAATTTATGCGTGTTTTTTAAGTGTTCTATTGCACTGTTTAAGGACATGATATCGTAAGATAAATTGGTACTTGCCGAGCTTGGGGATAATGCCCCTAATTCAATTGCCAATGCATCACACTCTGTACACTTTCCGTAGGAAATAGCTAGTTTCGTTTTCACTTGTTTTATCTTGTCCCGCAGCGTAAAAGCGGTTGTTTTTTCGCTAGCATACCTAGGAGGCAACTGATATTGCGTCGTCTTCGACGTCTTCTTCGTCGTTCCTAGTACGTTTTCGGATACTTTGGTTGTCTGGAGGAGAGCGCCGCATTGTGCCCGTATTCGCAATTTGATTGAAAATTTTGATTTTGGTTCGATTCGAAAGCAGTAGGAAGATCCAATCCCATGACGCTGGTCTCTGCTCGACGATCGAACAGAGAGTGAGCATGTGAAAGTGGCCTATTCATGAAATTCCTGATGTACCTATTTACCAGTATATTTGCGAATTTTTCTTTGGAAGCATCTTGGCATTGAATACCTACCTACATTTTTGGACATAAATTCTCAATATTTTCTTGTTTGTAAATACCTCGGTAAATAGTATCCCACTGTCAGTTCTCACTTTCCACTCAATCAAAAAATAATATTTTGTCTCATTCTATTTTAGATCCTTGAGTCACGATCTCTACGACGAATCAAAAACTCTAAAAGAAATAATCCAACACATCTATTTAAGCAGAGCCGAATGCAAAAGCTTAGAAGTATTCAAATGGGAAAAGTTCATGCTATTCAAACAAATGCAATATAAAGGAATAATTGATCGAAAAATTTGTCATAAGTTGTTCAAGTTGATACCACACAAGGCTTTGCAAAAGAATAGGAGAGAAATCCACGGAGGAGTTTTGACTAGTAAGTACGTCTGCAAGAAATGTCTGTGCCCAGTGAATAAAGCGTCGAATTTACAAGAAGCTTTGGCAGTCAATAGGAGAAAGTCAGATATCAGGCTGAAAGCAAAGAAACAGAAAACAGATAGAAATCAGTTTTTTCCTTATGCTGATAAGTCAAACGTTTTCCGAGATAAAAAAGCATCTGTTGACACAAGTGGTTAATCTAGTCATTGTAGAGATCATGCACCTTTTTCTGTGATTCACAGGGTATCTAGAAAATTTTTGATAATTTTTCTTTTATTTTATCTGCCCGGTTTAAATGTTAATTATTTTCATGGGGTCAAAAGTATATCCCAGAAATTATATTTTAGTTTGTCTTTTTTTTATAATTTCGTTTTAAGCTATTTGCTGTTTAATGTTGTTAGTGTAAATGCACTGGAAATTATTTATATCTATATTTCTATTAGCATGAATCTCGATCAGAAATATTTTTTATAATACCAATACCTTACAGGGATTTTTATACAAGAGTACTTAAAGCATGTTATAGAACTGAATATTTGAAATAAAATTTTAATTTTATATACCTATACCTACTTGTGTTTTACTTAAGTATTTCCTGCATTTTTAGTATCCAGGGAGTAATTTAACACGTTCTCTGCCAACATGTTTTGCTGATCCTGCGCCAAGAGGTTTTTTTGATCCAAAAGATGTATTAGAAATAAAAGAAGCATGTTTCAACATTTTATGTTACCAATAAAAATCGAAAATATTACATTTTTGGAAATTTCGGTCAAAATGACCGACGCGGCGTGGAGGGCACAATTTGTTCAATTCGACCGTTGTACGCCGAGTCGGGGAGAGTCTACAAGAATTCGAATCGGAAGTTAAAAGGCTAGTGAGTTTGGCGTTTCCTGCAGCTGGGGAAGACATGCAGGAATGGATGGCAGTATCTGCGTTTATTGATGGTCTCAGAGATTCGAAGATCCAGGAAAACCTAAGAATGTCCAAGTTCAGACAAAGTAGCGAAGCTCTTGTACGAGCATTAGAACTAGAAGCAATCTTTGGTGCCTCGCGACCCAAAATACGAGCAGTGTCCATTGAGGACCCAAAAGATAAACAGTTGTCAAAAGAGGATGGTAGCTTCGAAACTAAAATGAGTAATCTCATGGAGAGAATGGAGAAACTGTTACTAGAAGATAGAAAAATGGGAAACGATTCCAGACAAACACCAACCCCGAGAAACCGAATAGAGTGCTACCGGTGCCATAAACTTGGACACATTCAACGAGATTGTAGAGTAAGAATGCCCTCTCCATCAAGGGATCGTTTCCAACGCTTTTCGAGATCAAGAGACGCCAGCCCTAATAACAAACAGGAACCAACTAGTACGGAAGGGAGGATGCTGGCTAGTAATGACGAAGCCCCCAGAGTTGTGTACATAAAATCATTGGCAGTCATTACCTATAGAGGATTAAAATTCGAAGGACAAATCAATGGAGAATTGAAAACCATCACTTTTGATACGGGTGCTGAAGTTTCCATAATTAGAAGAACATTAATCAAGTCTCGGGCAATCCAACCGCTCACTAGAAACCTGTCACTACGAACAGTCACCGGCGAATCACCAGTTCAAGGAGAAGCGATGGTTGAGCTTACTTTTGGATCTACCACCTTCAGGCACAGAACATTAGTCGCCGATATAGAAGATGATTTTATTTTGGGAATGGATTTGATCGGCCAACATGGTTTCTCTTTTGTTCCTTCCATGAACATCCTTAAATTTGGTAATGAAGAAATTGTCCTAACAACACAAGAAGAATCCGACGCCGTTAAGATCCTGGCCACAACCCCAGTGAGGATTCCTGGAAGTACTGAGAAGATCATTTGCGGAAGATTAAAAACAAACCCTGGGTGCTGCGTTGGGCTAACACGTAATTTCATTGGATATAAACCAGAAATATTTCTTGTTGGAAAGACTCTAGTAAGAACAAATGGAGACATTATGATAAGAATTGCCAATGTTTCTTCCGAAACAGTAAGAATAAAAAAAGGAGACATAATTGGAGCTCTCGAACCAGTGAAGCAAATATCGAACTGTGACCTACCAGAAAAGCGACATTTTGTGAAATCCAAATTGGATACCGACACCTTGATGCAGACTTTGGCGAAATCATGGAGACATCTCGATCTAGATAGACTTCAAGAAGCCACAGATTTCATTTTGAAAGAAGCAGACGTATTTGTGACGGACAATCAAACCGGACGAACCAGCTTAATTCAACACAAAACTGATACTGGATTGGCACACCCAATTAGACAACCACCACGACGTATGCCAGTAGCTAAGCAACAGGAAGTGGAAAACCAAATTGATAAAATGCTTCAAGAAGGAGTAATTGAAAAGTCAAATAGTCCATGGTCCGCGCCAGTAGTACTGGTTACGAAGAAAGATGGGAGTCTTAGATTTTGTGGGGACTACCGAAAGCTTAATGACGTCACCAAGAAGGACAGCTTCCCTCTCCCAAGAATAAACGATACACTAACAACTCTATCGGGCTCCAAATGGTTTTCCACCTTGGATCTCAAAAGTGGATACTGGCAAGTGGCATTACATGACGATGACAAAGAGAAAACTGCCTTCAGTACCGGAAGCGGGCTATACCAGTTTAATGTAATGCCTTTCGGATTGTGTAATGCTCCAGCTACGTTTGAGCGACTGATGCATCTTGTTTTGCGAGGCCTTACCTGGAGAACTTGCCTGGTATATTTGGATGATGTCATGATCATGGGAAATGCGTTCCAAGAACATCTCAATAACCTGAAAGAAGTTTTTGACCGCTTCCGGAATGCCAACTTGAAACTCAATCCAAATAAGTGTTTCCTATTTCAAAAGAAAGTGGAATTCTTAGGTCACGTGGTATCTGAAGAGGGCAGACAAGTTATGGAGGGAAAAATAGATGCTGTCAGGGACTGGCCAAAACCACGCGACAAACATAAACTAAGGAGTTTTCTAGGATTTTGTTCTTATTATCGAAGATTTGTGGAAGGATTCGCCAATATAGCTGCTCCACTTCATCGATTAACAGAAGAAAAATCAACATTCAATTGGACCCAAGAATGCGATTCCGCATTTAGAAAATTGAAAGGAGCATTATGTACGAGCCCAGTGTTGTCCTATCCTGATCACAAAGGCATGTTGATTTTGGACACAGATGCAAGTAACACCAGTGTTGGAGCTGTCCTTTCACAAATCCAAAATTCACAAGAACATGTCGTGGAGTACTACAGCAGAAAATTATCAAAGCCGTAACGAAATTATTGTGTCACCAGAAGAGAGGTGCTTGCCATAGTAAAAGCAGTCGACCATTTTCATAAGTATCTCTACGGACGCAAGTTTCTAATTCGAACAGATCACGCAGCTCTAAAATGGCTTTTAGAAATGAAAACTCCTGAAGGACAGCTTGCTAGATGGATTGAGAAATTGCAGCAATAAGTTGCCAAATTAAACATCGACCTGGAAACCTGATCTTAGTTTACTCGGGGGCCCATGAAACAACGTCGGTCTTCCATTTGAAAGAATAGCGATAGATGTAGCAGGACCGTTCCCAGAGTCAGAGCGTGGTAACAAATACATCTTAGTTATCATGGATTACTTCAGTAAATGGCCAGAAGTTTTTGCTATTCCCAATCAAGAAGCCATCACTGTTGCCCAGGTGCTAGTGGACGAAGTTTTTAGTCGTCATGGTGTCCCACTAGAGTTACATTCAGACCAGGGACGAAACTTCGAAGCTGCCATCTTTAAGAAAATTTGTGAGATCATGGGTATTCGTAAGACAAGGACAACACCTTTACATCCACAGTCTGATGGCATGGTAGAACGATTCAATAAGACCATAGAGGAACACCTGACAAAAGTGGTCGCTAGGAACCAGCGAGATTTGCCTCTATTTTTAATGGCTTACAGAGCAGCTGTTCACGGGTCAACAGGTGAAAGTCCAGCCAGAATCGTTTTTGGAAGAGAACTCAGGTTACCTTGCGATCTGATGTTTGGGATACCTGAAGAAGAACGAAAAGAAATTCGAGAATATGCCGACGAAGTAAGGTAAGGGCACTTCGAGGTATCCATGATTTTGCTCGGGAGCATATTCAATTAGCCAGTGACCGGATGAAGACCAGATACGACCTGAAAGCCAATTCAGCCGGATTTCAAGAAGGTGATTTGGTGTGGCTGTATAATCCAGCTAGAAAGAAAGGAGTATCGCCAAAATTGTCTTCAGCATGGGAAGGACCCTATAGAATAATCAGGAGGATCAATGATTTGGTTTATCGAATCCAGCGCAACACCAGGAGTGAGATGAAAGTTGTACATCTAGACAGATTGACGAAATATCATGGGCGTGAAGTTGATCGGGACGATCAATCTTAAGAGGAAGGCAGTGTTACGATATCGCTAACGCCTGGCCAGAACAACAGCGTCCGCCGCCAGGCTGTCAAGAATCTAGCGAATTATTCTACTCCAATGACATCAAAACACAGATAGACGGATCATCCCATTCATAAACTATTATTTGTTGTGTTGACAAGACCACCCATGGGCCAGGGGAGGTGAGTTGCTCGCGGGGTCGGGGTAGGGAGACATCATTGCTCAAAATGGTGTAAAAAACCCCGCCCACACGTGAATATATCTCGAAATTTAATTGGATGAATAAATAAAATAACAAATTGACAAATAAACTGAAAATATTCGATACGAGCCCTTTATTCTGGGAGTACCAATATCGTGTTAGTCGTTTCTTGTTTAACGCTAATGAATAATCCCTGTTTGCGATAAAGATAGCTAGCTACTACAATCAACACCTGCCTGCCATTCAACAAGCCGCTTCTGGGCGGTGTTTTGCTATAATCTGCTGTTGCCAAATTGAGTTCAGAAATAAAATTGAAAATGTTAATTAGAGGAGAAAAATATAAATAGGTTCGTTCCAACCCAGCCAAAAACCGTACAATGTACGGTCACGGTCATGCGCCATAGGTTAAACGCGTTCCAACCGAGAGATGATCGTTTACCGTACAGTTTCGTTGGCGTTCCAACCAAACCTGGGATCGTTCGAGAACTGGTTTTAGCACCGTCATTTCGATCCCGAATGGAAAGCAAGAACCGCGTGGACTGATTCATGACTGACATGCGTAATTCAATTTTTGTCACCTGTTTTTGTTGTTCATGTTGTTGTTAAACAACCAATTTCCAATCTAACTTATAAAACTGTAGCATTTTTATTTTTTCAAGTGAAAAAAAGTACAAAATTTATTATCAGCTATTTGCTAATCCTTGATGTTATCAGCTTGCAAGGATTCAGTTTTAGATTCTTGATAATGAATCAGCGTTGGTGTTCGATTTTCCTTTTTTATATATAATTTTGTAATCCTAATCCTACATTCTTCTATTTTAATTTGCAAACAAACAAATTTAGGGTTAAAGTCTCGGTTAAAGTTATTTGAACTGTCGTCATTACGAAAACGATCATGAAACCGTTCCAACTACCCGTTGTTTCTGTACCAAGATAAAACCGTGCAAGGTCAACGCATGCGCC